AAAATGTCATATTTATTTTAACACCTTTGATTATATATAATATGGATTGAGCTAACTGAATATATCTACTAACAAAAATGTGGCTCAAGGTGAATAGACGCAGATGGAAAGCGATAATGTGAAAGTGTAACAAAGATAGACATAAAACGGTACTAAACAGACGGGCGCATGCGCACAAAAGTGTCAAACCTCTTCCATTTGACGTTTATCGTTTTGTTGTGTCACAGCCAGTCACACCGTTATGTTTAAAAATGTATTGTTTCGTGTGCAAAGTTCGCGATAATACAGTTTCACATCACCTGTAAGTATTATAAATGTTACTTCTAATTGATAGTTTTTTATCTTATAAATTAACGCACGCCCATTATATGTCAGTACGCTTCTATGTCTATCTCGGTTCGATCACCTTGCGCGAGCTATCTCTCTCGTTGGCTCAATCCATATTATATATAATCAAAGGTATGTACGTACGCCCTGGTTTTTATTATGTTTTAAACAAATAAGTAATTAAATTCGTAACTACAGTCAGTTTACAATTGAGAGCACCCTCTATTGACAGCACAACTATTAACTTCAAAACAGAAGTTACCAAACCTAGGGGTAATACTAGACAGTAAATTAATCTGGTACTCCCGCATAGACAAGGTGAGGAAAAAGGCCATTATGGCTAACCAGATCTGCCACAAGCTCCTTAGAAGGAACTGGGGTCTCAAACCACGCATGGCTCATTGGGCCTACATAGTAATAATCAGACCCATGGTCGTCTATACCTACCTCACTGGTTTGGTGATCAAAAACAAATCATAAGACAGCACAAAAACAGCTGGCACAAATCAAGCGGTTAGCATGTCTTAACATAACGGGTGCAATGAGATCTTGTCCGACGGCTGTTCTTGAAGCCCTGCTCGGTCTCACACCACATAATTTATACAGTCTGTAACACAAAAAACGCCCCAAGCTGTAACTCTGTCATTTACATTCCAATTTTCATGAGCGAGGTATCAAATGAAATGGTTTGATGATTACTATGATTCATGCTACAAATAAATTTTTTCCAAGGACATCTTCCATTTACGATTATTAACTTTTATTTTTCAAATTGCTCCATATATTTTTCTTCACGTCATTCTTTTTCTGAATCCATTGACGTACAATACATCCATTTTTAATGTAATTTTAGCAGAAAAAAGACACCTGTATATACATACTCTCTGATTTATTTTCTGATTTTCATGCACGAGGTATCAAATGAAATGGTTTGATGAATGCTATGATTCACGTTACAAACATGGACATGTACAAACATATTTTATTTATTCTTGATGTTGTGTTTTATTCTTCATGAACTGTATAAATTTAAATTATTCCTGCCATTTTGTGGTTATGTTTGCTTCCAACCATATAGATAACATCTTTTGAATCTCTTGGATAGGCTTGCATGCTTAATTTTTGGTTTATTATAAGACATATTCTTCAATTACTATCAACGTGCTCGCTGCAATTAATACATTTTGTAAAATGACATCAAAGATGACTTTTCAAAACATCTGATTCAATTGATAATGCATCAGGATTTCAAACCAATCCAACTAAATCTATTGACTGTGAGTTTATTATAGATATAACCTAAGTATAGTCAAGGTGAGGAAAAAAGGCATTATGGCAAACCAGATTTGCCTCATGTTCCTTGGAAGGAATTATCCTAATTGGAGTTTCTTCACGCTATAATTTGGGTTCAAAAGAAAGCCGACATTCCTTCACGCTATAATTAGGGTTTCAAAGCAAAACTAACCTATCCTAACATTCCTTCACGCTATAATTGGAGTTTCTTCACGCTATAATTTGGGTTCAAAAAAAGCCGACATTCCTTCACGCTATAATTAAGGTACCACAACAAAACTGACCTATCCTAACATTCCTTCACGCTATAATTGGAGTTTCTTCACGCTATAATTTGGGTTCAAAAGAAAACCGACATTCCTTCACGCTATAATTAAGGTTTCAAAACAAAACTAACCTATCATAAGCAGTGATGGGCACTGGGTAAATACCCGACGGGTAGGTATTTCTAAAATGGGTATTTACCCCGGCCCAGGGTGAATACCCAAACAGTGGGTATAAAAGTGATACCAGTAAAAATATATCAGATTCCAAAAAAAATGAAGAGGAAGATGATGAGGACGTTGAAGACGAAGAATTGTCAACATTCAAAGACGTATTATCAACGAATTTAACGTTGTTGAATCAACATTCAAACGAATCTGTCGTAATTTAGATTAGATCAAGTTATTATGATTATTATCATCAAGCAGCCCTCTGCGTCCATTGTTGGACATCTCTCCTATTCTGTTCCATTCGATTCTATTCTGCGCTGTCTAAAATAGTCTGCATCCAATTGTTGGTCATTCTTTTGACATCTACTTAGTCTGTTCGCTCGCGTTCTCCATTCAAGCAACCGTTTTGTCCACTGCTCATTCTTCATTCCAGTTCAGTTCCACTTAAGCTTTGCCACAATGTTGATCACATCATTTACGCCAGTTCTTCTTCATAGGTCTTCATTTCGTATGTAGTACCTCAGAGTTAGAACCAGGATCGTCCTGGAAGTGGCTACCGTTAATGTTAAAGTTTCGGAGCCTTATGTCATAATCGGAAACACGCATTCATTGAAAGCCTTTCTCGGCCTTTTCTCTTGAAGATGTCTCTAAGTTTCCCGTAGGCTGCCCATACGAATGTGATCTTTCTGTTTAGTTCGCTTGTTTGATTATCTCTCGATACACGAACCTCATAGCTAAGATATACATAGCTGACAACCCTCTCAATCTCATTATCCCCAATATTGATGTTAGAGTTGGGAACAAGATTTGTCATAAATTTTGATTTCTTCACGTTGAATATTTAACACCTCCTTTAAGTCGTTCAGCATTAGTTTAATCTCTCCAAGGCTATCCGATATAAGAACTATATCGTCCACGTAGCGCAAATTACTTAAGCATTTGCAATCAATGTTTATATCTTTTTGGGTGCAAACCAGTTGTTTAAATGCACTCTGAGGACTGTGATGAACAATTTGGGTTTAATAGTGTCTCGCCTTGTTTTACTCACAATCAGTATTTTACTACTTCTACTCTCTTCAGTACTTTCATTTTACCGTCATTGTAGCATTCTTGTAGATGTTATAAATAAGTTGGTATATCGATAATCGACTCTGCATTCTTGAAGTGCTTGCAAAACTGCCATCAACTCAATTTAAATTAAATTTTATAAATACCTGTAAATACCCATCTTGGGTAAATACCCCCGGGTATATATCCAGGAAATTTACCCTTGAAAATAAATACCCGGGTATTTAACAACGCTGATCATAACATTCCTTCACACTAAAAGAGGAACTCTTGCCTGGTATGCTGATGATTCAAAGACAGTTGGATCTGGAGTAGGTATTGGTGGACCAAATAGTCTTATTAAATTATCCCTCAGCTCGGACATAACCATTTTTCAAACAGAAGTTCTTGCTATAAACTTCTACACCGTTTTGAACCTGAAAAAGGGACAGAAAGGTAAATCGATAATGCTGGACAAGCTGGCCAAAGAGGTAGCGAAAACACTAAAAAGCCACTTAAAACTAGTAATCAATAGTTGGGAGATGATTTTATGTCTCAGCAAAGGGGATATAAGGTCGCTGCATGTCCTGACCGGCCATGCGCTCCTAAAATACTATCTCTTCCACAGTGGACAAGCTGAGGATGAAACTTGTGGACATTGCAACGACGAGTCAGAAACGTCTGAACATATGCTATGTAATTGCGTTTGCCCTAAACATTTGCCCTGAACTTTTGGAGGGCTAAAGTTACAATAGATCTTATAGGTCGCGGAGGCGAGAGGGGCCGCTCCCCTCAGCCTGGCAGCAAAATAACTACAGTTTTCTTTAAATGCTCTCTGGTTTTAAAAACTCCGCCAAGGATTAGCTTTGATCATTACACTGTGTAAACGTGATTTTTCATTTTACTCCTCCGAATTAAAAAATATAACGTTCGTGTTTAGTCTTAAGTCTAGTCCTAAGTCTTAAATTTTAGTTTTAGTTAATTTTTATATACATTTTTTTAGTAATTGAAAATGCGCCACAAATTGGAGAACTCTCAAAATTAGAAGTGCTTAGAAGTCGATTAAGATCAGATATTCCATTGAATGATTTAGAATGTTTAAATGATACAACTGTTCTTGCAAAACACGTTGGAACGGTTGTTGATCAAATAAAGCATTTAAGAACAGCCATTGAAAGTACTATCGAACAATCTAAAGTTAAAGGAACCCATAAGAGTGATTATGAAGGTGTGTTTTCGTTAAAATTTGTTAATTTCTTAAAAAAAAAAAGTTTTTTTAGGTAATAAAGAAGATAGTAGTGAAACGGAAATAGCTGACCTCCAAGAACAAGTGATTCGTTTGAAGAGTCTCCTTTCGACGAAACGTGAACAAATCGCTACACTTCGTACCGTCCTCAAATCCAACAAAAATACCGCAGAAGTTGCTTTAACCAATTTGAAATCGAAATATGAAAATGAAAAGACCATAGTTTCGGAAACAATGATGAAATTGAGGAATGAATTGAGATTATTAAAAGAAGACGCAGCTACATTTTCAAGTAAAACAATTTACATTTTGTTATTGGCTCAAATGTGCTCAATTTTGTCTCATAAAAAAATTGTATCTAAACAAAATTAAAAAACAAAATAAGTTTTTGTCAAATTTAATTTGTGTCAATTTTTATTTTTAGGTTTAAGAGCAATGTTTGCAGCACGTTGTGAAGAATATGTAACGCAAGTAGACGAGTTACAACAACAATTATCGGCAGCTGAGGATGAAAAGAAAACGCTCAATCAGCTGTTACGGCTTGCCGTCCAACAGAAATTAAGCCTAACGCAGCGTCTTGAAGAATTAGAAGTGGCTAGTGAGTTACGTAATGTCCGCCGACAAGGTGGAGTTCGTGGTCTTCAACGTCCAAGTCGTTCAAATCGTGACATGTTCTAGCCGAGGCGCCGTCCTATGGTATATGTCATCGCGTTCATTACCACCTTTTTCAAACTATAGGCGGCAAAGAACACCAAAAAAATTAATTTTTTAAGCAATTTTTATTTTGTTCGGTGACGGTAACTTTTTATCTTCATTTCTTAGATGTGATATTTTTATGATTTTAACTATTCTAAGAGATAAGGGGTACTCACAAGTGTGGATCCCTTTGAGTATGTTTTTAAAATGTTTTGATGTTTTTAACATATCCAAAAAAAGGTGGAAGATTTTTTTTTAACTTTACTAGTGAATCTAATGCATTTAAACATAATATTAACAAAGAAATAAAATTAGAAACTGATATATTATTTAAAATGGCTATATTTTACAGTTATAGAGTAATTTATATTGATTAAAAAGAGAATGTTTAGTGATAAGAATGAGAAACAGTGAACGTCTTTGGAATATTCTAAAAAAAATGTGGGTAAGGTTAAGTAATCATTAATTGTAATTGATATTACCGAGATAAAGATAAATGAAATAGATGAGCTTTTTGCCAATAAAATATCTACTTAAATATAGGAGGTGTTTTAAAAAAATTGCTGTAATATTTTTATTGAGTATTAAAGTTCTGATACAAAAAACACTGAAATGTCTAATGTTCAGGTTGGATTAAAAGTTATTTTTTTTATTCTAATCTGATCAAAAAGTAAGAAAAAAGCATAAAATAATCCATGTCCTATTAATTAAATTTTGTGACTATAAGTTGTGTTCTCAAACAAAGGATTTATAGTCACCAAATATACAATAAACATAGATATATCTATTAATTAAACATAAATTATTATAATTATATATACATGTTGTACCTCAAGTATATTTAACACTGATTTCTGAAAGAAAGTGTCCAAAAGCAACACAATTCTTTCCGTTGTCCATAATTTTCCCTAGTGTTTATTGTAATGATAAAGCCGAGGGCCTCGAACGCTAAAAAGAAAATTAAAAAAAAAAAAGAAAACAATACAGAGTATTTTCGTAAAAACGCTTAAAATATAAAAGATGTTTAAAAAAAGGAATGATGAGAACTTTCGAACACCTGTTGACCGTTTGTTAATCGATCGACTAATTAATTAATTTTTAAGGATTTAAATCGAAATAAAAACTACTCCGTTCCGTCGGTCCGATCGTCCATTATATTCGAGACTTTTGACCTCTTCCGAGCCCAATCGGACCACGGAACTTGGAAATTCGGCCCGTCCCCATTCTCTTATTTTCGTTTTCAAACACTTTGTTAATGGCCTCATTTGCATTTTGTTCCCCAATTTTTTTGTTCCAACGGCCTGTTCTTAATGCACTGTTTAAAAACAAGTTATTAGGTAGATAGACGTTTTTATTTATTCGATATTTATATAAATGGTAGTGTGAACGTTGCAATATTTATTGTATTGAGTTTTTTTTTATAATCAAAATACACACAGATTATTCTAGTTTTTTTCTTTAATAAGATATTAGAGAAATATTTAGTGACATTTTTCTATTCATTTTTTTCGTAGGTAAAAAAGATATTCGTATTGTTATCAAATTCTTGCTTGTTTTTAATCTGGTTATATGATGTAACAAATGTTTTTTATTAATAAAAAGAAAACATTAACTAGAAATTATTACTAGTTGATTTTTATTTTCATTTTTACCACATTATAACTTAAACTTTTTACAGGAAGTGGTACTAAACGTTGACATTCCATAAACATTGTGTTTACTCAACAACAGCAAAATTTACTCAAAACGGAATTTTTAATATCCATAATGCGCACATTTTGAGTGATGAAAATCCTCATGCAATACTAGAAACTCATCATCAGTGGCAGTTCAGTATTAATGTTAGGCCCCTTTTTTCTTCCAAAGAGAACATTTATTATTTATTTATTCGTTTCGGGATGCAGACAGGTTAACCCAATAAAGCATCCACTAAACTTACAAGCAAAATACAGATATAACATAATAAGTCCTAAATTATAAAGTTAAACAGACATGAAAGAAAAAAAAACAAAAATACAATCCAAAAGCAACAACTAAAAGTAAATTTCAACTCAAAATTTCAGTCAATGTTGGGAAGCAACATACATTTCTTTTTAACACGTTGACTGCCAACTACGATATAACTCGTAGTGTACGTTCTGGCCTAGGACGCCAAGTACGAGTTATCTCGTAGTTTGTTTATTTTCCATAGCCGTACAGTTAGCATTATATTTTAAAAAAACAAATGTTTCCATGAACAGAAAATATAGTACTATCTGATTTATACAAAATCATTATTGTCTTTATACAAAATAATACGTTTATTGTTTATGATACTTTTTGAAACAATCTTCCACACAAAGGGCTGGTTTCTCTGCACAAACTGGGCAGAAATAACGCGTTTCTCGGCGTTGTTTAGCCTGAGTACAAATTCGACATGGCTTTGTGGGTCTCTATTTTTTCTCGCTGGGTGGAATACACTCCAAATAATGAAGATTTTGCAATCTTATTTTCTCCGCAACTAGTTGAAACTGTTCTCCCATCAACGCAATGACAAATTCTTCCCTAAATTTTATTAGTTTTATTTTAGATGCAGTTATTTTTTGAAATATTTTATGCGCATTGTGTATATATATTTCTATAATGTGTAAAGCAACCTTTTTAGGCCACCTAATAGTTTTTCTTAGGCATGTGTAGTAAGCCAGCATTTGATCTGATCGATCAATACCAGACATTCCTTTATTATAATCTCGAATTATATTTGGTTTCGTCGGAAGTTTACCATTGCGATTGGATACCTCCATCATTTCAACAACATGCATGTTTGAAATAGTCAAGACTTCTCGTTTGTCTTTCCATTTACATACAGTAATGGGACCGTTTCGCTGCCATGTAACTTCCCCTTTTTTCAGCTTTCGATTTATCACATCTTGGGGATTCTCCTTTCGGTTCTTTCGTAAAGTTCCACATACATACGTTTTTCGGGTTGTCAGTAATTTTGTAAGTGTAACAGAATTATAAAAATTGTCCATGTGTAGTGTATATCCCTTATCGAGATAATCTTCAGCTAAATGTAAGACTATATCAGTTGTGTGACCTAAATTATTGTTAGTTTTCTCAGATTTTCCGCTATAAATTCTTATTTTCATCGGACTCGCATAATTTATACAGTTTGATACCATATTTATGTTTTTTATTTTTTATGTATTGGCGAAAATATAATCTTCCACGCCATAGCAGCATTGATTCATCAATACAAATATTTTTATTTGGCACGTAGTTTTGGCTCATAATATCATTGAAATGATTTAGTATAGGTCTTACCTTATATAATCTATCAGAAGATGGTACTGGGTTATCAACTAAGTGAAANGATTATTGCAATGGCTTAGATCTTAGGTTTCACAAACTGTCTAATTTTTGCTCCTTTTAAATAGGATATGAATTACCCCAAAATTAAAAGCCTAAAGTGGAAAGAAAATCGAAAACGATGTATTAGATTTAATTAAGCAAAAAAAAAAATATTTAAATTTGATCAAATGTAAATGGATTAAAGATAAATTAAATGACTTTAATAAAAGTTAAAAAAAAACTAGATGAAACTTACCTCCGAAAAAACTAAACTTAGTCAGTAAAAAAAAACTGTTTAATTTTCGTTAAAATAATTAACTCCGTAAATTTATATTCCTTCAGGAATTATAAATAAAATGAATATCTTCGTGATGACTTCGCTAACAGCGGATATGTCCAAAATAATCCAAAAGTTAAATCACAAAACTCAAAAATTTTGGCAACAAGTTCACTAGATATGTCTTTAACGACTGACTTGAATAAACAAAACTTGAATAAAAAAAATGTGAACTTAACGTCACATCTGGTACCAACAAAATCAAAATATGTTCAGAATAAATTTGTTTATTAAAAATTACTATGTGAAATTTGTGAAACTTTAATTTAAAATTCTAATAAAATTAAATAAATGAAATTGAAAAGTGAAAAGAACTGAATTAGAGAAACGATAGACTAACTAAATTGAATAATTAAAAAAAAATAAAGAAAAATAGGATTCTGCACCGCCATGAAAATCGTTACTGTAAAAAAAAAGAACATATTCTCTACAAATAAAAAAAAACTTTGCATCTCTAAATAGAATTAAATAAAAGAAAGAAAATTGGAAAGGATAAAAAAAAAGGAAACAAAAAGGGTAACAAGTTGGCAAAATTAACAGTCTAGTTTTGTTTTATCATGTTTTGAAATAAATATGTCACACTGACGTTTGAACTTTCGTTATTCAAAAAGAAAAGGTGCATAAAAAATGTTGTGGAGTGTTTATTTGCCACTTATTTACTTAGAAAAGGCGTTTTATTCTATTTAATTACTTTGCAGCACGTTTTTCAATAAATATGTACTTCGTTAAAATCGTATTTATCTAAAAATTTATTAGTATTTTAACCTCAACTATTTAGTTACTAAAAATCAGGAAAATAACATACATTTTATAAGGGTCCTAGATAATACCAACAGAAACCATAACAAATTTACATTGACAACTATTACAGAAAAAAAAAGAACTATAGTTCGTTTTTTTTTGTTGAGGTCAAATGCTAATAAATGTTTAGATAAATACGATTTTAACGAAGTTCATATTTGTTATAAAAACATCCTACAAAGTAATTAAATAGAACAAAACACCTTTTCTATATAGGTAAATAAATGGCAAATAAACACCCCACAGCATTTTTTATGAACCTTATCTTTTTGAATAACGAAAGCTCAAACGTCAGTGTGACATTTTTATTTCAAAACATGATAAAACAAAACTCCATGTTAATTTTGCTAACTTTGTAATTAATTAATCTCATTTTGATTTTGATTAATGCCAAATTGATTATGACAGTCGCCAAATTGGTTTTGTTTAATGCCATTTTCAGTTTGATTAGTGCCAATTTGAACTTGAAATGGTATAGTTTTATTTGTTATTCAGAATAAAAAATGTAAAAATTGTTTATTAATAAAAATTAATCAATAACATTAATCTAGATATCAGAGATCGTCAAATACCTCGAATTATTACCGTAAATTAAATTTACATACAAAATAAAACAAATACGAAAAATTAGTGTAAATATCCAATAATTTGAGGTACTTGACGATCTTGGATATCTGGATTAATGTTAATAGTTAAATTTTCTTAATAAACAATTTTTACATTTTTTCAAAAATTTTCTGATATAAGGGTACTAAAATTTTACGTCATCGTAAAGAGAAAACAAATCTCTATCAAATGAGAATAACAAAAAGGTATATTGCCATTTAAAAAACTTCAAGTGTTATTCGTTACTCATTTGTTTTCTGAAATAAAAACAATTGAATGCTGTCTTATTATGGCAAATCAAATATTAAACAACTTTTGTATAAAATGTTTTTTTATAAAGTTGATACCTACCAAGATATATACTATATTCCATACATAATGGGCACCCTGTATTATAAAATTGGTAAAATAATTAACCTAAACAATCACTGTCAAATTGTGATGGTGTTCCATCGCAGCTTAGTTTTATCAAATTTCTAGTTCTTTCATGTAACGGGTTTAACTTTTCTTCACATGGACCTCCACCAGTACCTATCACATCAGTGCGGTATTTGGCAATGGCTTGACATCTTTTTTTAATGTTTCGTATTTACTGCGAAGCTGTTCCCATGTACGGTTTGTCGTGCCGGTTGAATTAAAAGTTTGACAAATCTTTTGCTATGCCGCTTTCTAAAATACAAGATATGTGATAAATAATTACCAAGTAGGTTATACCTTCTCTTTTTGATCACTTTTATCATCCATCTTTACTGTTATTATTTATACTGCGTACGCCGCGACGCGCCGCGCCGGGCAAAATGCAGCTCGCATGCAGTGTTACCAACACAATGTAACAAAAAGTCCCATGCGCAGTGCTTTAAAAATCCCATCTATTAAGCAATAAAAAACTACAAATAAATTTAAAATTTATAGAAAAAAATAGAAAAGACTAACATAAAATTTCAAAGTAAGTAGTTTTTAACTACTAATACTAATACTCCTATAAAATATGAAACTTAATAAAAAATATATTAATATAAAATCAAACATATTAAGTTAGAAATCATATAAATATGTTTTCCGATAGTACTAATAAGTCCTTAAAACTGTAAACTTCTTTATATACATATTTTTGTAATAAGTCGTTTGGGGTGGGATAATCAACGCATGTTTAATTATTCTGTTGTAATGCGTTACGAATAACGCACATTGCATTTAATGTTTCCTCGCCCGTTCTATTTCCTTTTTTCATTTTAATATCTGTTACCATGGAAAAAATTCTTTCTGCTTCAGCATTTGTATGAGGCAATGTTAAAATAATATTGGCAAGTTTTCCTAAATTTGTAAATAAGTGGTCGTTATTAAAATTTTTTTTCATCCAATTTGAAGCCACATCGATTTCAGTTTCATCGAATGAAGTAGCTAGTTTCTGCCACTCATTTGATATGTCAGTGGCAATGAAATTAAAAAAATCAACAGCCAATCCAACTATATCAATATCAGAATTCCACTTGGGGATCTAAAAATTCCATTGCTTTAAAAATGTGATTATTAAGTGTTAAGTGG